TTCCTGTGGAAATGATATATGTGCTAGGAAATTAACTGAGTTTAAAGACTGACTCAGTGCAGCCTGAGCTGAAGGGCTTTCAGCTACACTGAATGAGCTACCAATCAGCCTTCTTGTTTAGCACAGATATCACCATCACAGGGATTGTTAAGGATCTACTGATTACAGATGCCAGTAACATCTGGACTAATGTTTCGTGGCATACATATTAGATCCAATTCCTCCTTTTTAGGTCAACCTCCCTATCTCCCAAAGAACTAGGCAAATCTGTGATCCAGTAAATTGCCAGGGAATGATTTTGCACAGTCAGCACAGTAAAAAGGTCTGCGGTGGGGTAGGAAAAAAAGGGAAATAGAACAGCTTCCAAGTTGAAGCAAAGTTTGGGGGTCTTAGTGTGGCTTTGGGTGAAAAACCCAAATTATTAAAAAGGGGATATATGGATTATTGGCAAATTTTCCTTCCATGCACTAAATGCCAGCTGTCCATCCAGCTCATATAATTCTTTATGCAGGGTGACCAGATGTCCTAATTACAAAGGAATAGGACATTCTGCAAAATGCAGGACATTCAGTAAAAATGTATGACATTCAAGAACAATATTGCAAAATAAAGGCTAAAAACACTAATATAAATATAAATCCATGCTTCTTAGTCATGCTCAAAATGGGAGACATTTTGGAATTCCTCCTGGACAGAAGGTTGAAATGGGGGACATGTCCAGGAAAAGGAGGACATCTGGTCACCCTGTCCTTATGAAGAAAAGTGCATGATTTTCTGCTTTGGACATTACTTGGGCATATAGAAAAAGCACCCTCTTTCCAATGCTCCCAGACTGTATTTGAAATCATCCACCACTTGGGTTCCAGAAGAAATGCACTGTTCATATTCTGTTGCATGATCAAGAGCTGCAGGCAGGAAATGGGAAAATACAGAGGGGTTGGGATGAATGACAAATTGGTGGCATTATCTTGATCCCACCACCATCAGAGGCATTTTTGGTGAGGACATGGGGAGGGCCTTTTTGGTGGCTGTTCCTAAACTGTGGACATCCCTCCCACAGGAGGCTACATTGGGTCTTTCCATCAGCTTTTTATTTACCGGTAAGCTGATCTTTTTAAACAGGACTTCAGCTGTTAAGGGGTTGAGACAGAAAGGTCCTGTATGGGATGCACTATTATTTTTATCTTCTGACTGTTTTAAAGGGTTTTAAATTGTCTCAAGTTACTGTTCTAATATGACTGTTTATAACTTTTAGACTTTCTCTTATTGGGTTTTTAACTGTACTTTGTTTTAACATATATTGTAAGCTGCTTTGAGTTGCATACAAGGTGAAAGGTGGGATATAAATTGAATAAATAAATTAGTAATTTTCACTCTTTGAAAAAAAAAATAATCTGACTACTTTGTGTAGGAGTTACTTTTTATAAATATATGTATATTCATCATTTCAATTACCTCTGGTCTGGGTGGATATGATAGTTGCTCAACACTAGTTTATAGAATTTATAAATAGCTCCATCTTTAAACTGCCTGATAGTTTATTGCAGGGGTGTACAATACATTAAACAAATTAATATTTTAAAATTATAATAAAAGCAGGTGAAAGTGTGGCCATAATTTATTAGTATTTAAGTCAGGAAATGGTTGTTTGAAAGAATCCATAGATTCTTCACATCTCTACATCCAAACACTCTGAAACATGTGACTTATAAGTGGAACATTTTTGGAGGCAAAGAACTTTTGATCTCTCCTGAGAATATAACTATTAATATATTTTCCTTTTATTTAAGTTTCCAAGTTTTACACGGTGAAAGAATATTGGAAATGCAACTCCAGTTCATGTCAACACCCAGATTGTAGAAACAAAAAAAGCTTTATTATACTCAGTCAGAAACTCCAGGATTTCAGATTAGTTTTTCCCATCCTTACCTGGAGCAGTTTGAGGGATCAAAACATTCCACTTGTAAAATGTATGCTTGAACCAGTACAGTTTTTAAGTAAATATGTCAGATTTGTGGAGGTTTGCCATTTCTGGACATCTGAAGTAGACCCAGAGTTGCACAAGAACATAAGAAGAACTCTGCAATTTTGTTCCCAACCATGGTCAACTAAATAAAAATGACAGCCTTGCTTCTGCTGTCTGTATCCCCTGTGCCAACTGATGGTATTCAGTGGCTTACCATCTTTAAATCTGGGCTTTCTGGTAGATAGATAATGTTCAGAACATCATGTTAACAGAAAAGCTAACTGAAAGAGTAAATGCTACTAGAAATAACCAAGACCACTTTAAATTCTAAGTGACATGGTGTAAGTTTATTAGTTATGCAAATGAAAATGCCAGTCTTTTCTCACCCCCATCTCTGGATGTTGATTTTTGGAGAGACAACTCTATCATAATCATTGTTTTTATGTCCTCTGGATATTTTTTTAGCTGGATAGTGATGAATCACAAAGTTGATACACCTCATTGTACTGAATCTCAGATGTATTGTTTGTTATTTTTGTTTCTAAATACTAGCAAATCTTTAAAATACTAATAAAAATAAATCTGTTTTTTCCATATGCTCATTAATATTGTGGCTAATACCCAGCCATCTGTTCTTAATTTTATCCAATCTCATCTAAAAGTCATCTAAGCCTATGGCCATCATAGCATTTTTAGGTCATGAATACTGTAACAACACTTTGTTGGACGTACTTATGCTGCAAACAATTCTATTGAGTGATCCCGAGTTCCAATATTATAAAAGAGGAAATAAGGTTTCACTTATCTATTCTCATTTCATTTTTTAAAGTAAACATCTTATCAGTCATCTTTTTTGCTAAGCAAAATAGCCAGCAATATTTGTACTTTTTCTCTAGTGTGTATGTTGATCATTTTCCCACACTGATTGCAGATCTGCAATATCGTTTTACAGCAACTGCAGCCACAAATTTCAGCCAGGAAAGATCTCACGCCCAGGTTATCCTCTCTTACCTAGCTGTTTGAAATAGCAGTTACTTGCAATAGTATCCATCAGAGTTAGTTCCTAAAGTAGCATGCCCTGATGTTAGTCAAACAAAAAACTTTTCCCTACACAGAGAGAGCTTCTGTGTAGGAAAATAGCATAGTATCTGCATTATGTATATACAGTGTACATAGTCTGGGAATCCACACCCACTTACAGGTTTCCAACAAGTACACTTGCAACTCATAGTCCAGATGTGAGCACCGCAGACATATCTCACCCTATTAAAGTTTACCATTCAGATTCACTGAAGGTGTTGTCCTTTGAAACTTAAGAGAGACATACGGTACTCACATAAGCCATACAGTTGCTTCTCCACACAAGGTGAAGCAACAGTTGAAACAAGAACACAGCTAGTGTTTCTAAACCTAAAAATAGCAATTCCACAGGAAGCAACTTGTGAAACCCCCAAACAGGTAGGGATGACTCTTGCTGGAGAATATGTGGTGAAGAGCAATGTACAGACATTCCTTTGGGTATGAGTATTCTCAGATTTGGCTCTGTATTGACCAGTTCTATTTCAGAAAAAGAATAAAGCCACCCACAGAATTGCTCAGCCATTAGACAACACTCACAAACACCCAAACCCAAATCATAACACAAAAGAAAGTATCTGAAGACCATGGCTGTCCTGCAAAGAACCCAAAAGATTACACGAATGTAAGAGGCCTCTACCTATAATTCCACCGTTTTAATTTTCAAATCTGTGCCATTTAAAACAAGATGACAGAAACTATGTTCATGTGGGGAAAAATTATCTTCAGCTATCTAATAACCTCTCCACTGCTAATTTAAAAAATAAGAATAAAATTTACCAGTACCAATATAATCCCACAAAGAAAAAGCCAAGTTATTTAAGTCAAATATGCACTCATCAGATAGTATTATGAGGCTGTTATCCTAAATCAACTTAACTGGCTTGCAGTATTCATAGTTGGACATCAACAAATACAAAGCTACTTTACAATGAATCAGACCAATGCTCAGTTCAGCGCAGTGTGGTCTACTTTAACTGGATGTGACTAGTTTCTAGGCATATGTCTTTTCCAATCCCTGCAACAAATGAAATCCTGATATCCTTTTTGACTGGGTGTAAAGCAGGGGTGGGCAACTTGCAACCCTTCAGCTGCTGCTAAACTGCAACTCCCATGATTCTTCAACATTGACTATGCTTGCTAGGGCTCATGACAGTTGTAATTTGACAACATCTACCAGGCCCACTCCCATTCTAAACTAGGACACACTGCATACCAAAACATGATAATCTGCTAGATTATATTCTTGAAAACTTTAGTTTTTCTTTTCAAAGGCACTGCTATATTGTTATAGACCAGGGGTAGGCAACCTAAGGCCTGGGGGCCGGATCTGGCCCCCTGAGGCCTTTGGACCGGCCCCAGGCCGGTCCTGCCGCCGCCGCCGCTGCCGCCACCCGCCATGATGATATTGATTATTGTTGTTATTACTTGTTCTTGGGGTTTTCTTGGAAAAATCTCCACAGGGGTTTTGCCATGGCTTTTCTGGGGCTGAGAGAGTGTGCATGCATATTTTTTTATATTTTTATTATTTTTTAATTTTTAATTTTATTTATGTATTTATTTATTTATGGTGCTTCAGCCCCCCAATTGTCTGAGGGACAGCAACCCGGCCCCCAGCTCAAAAAGGTTGCTTACCCCTGTTATAGACAGACAGTTATATCTGAAGGCATAAAAGCAATGTGCAAGAGGTCTCATTAAAGGTTGGTGCAGAGCCCCCCTCAATTTCCCACTTGACTTTTGTAGCCTCTAGCCACTTATGTTCCTTTGATGTCCTTTCTGCCATGACACTATTTCTTGACAAAGACATTCTAAATCCTTTTTTTGTGTCCTCGCGTAGATGTTTCTGACTAATGGCAACCATAAAGGGTTTTCATGGGTTTTCTTGGCAAGATTTGTTCAGAGGGGGCTTGCCTTTCTCTGAGGCTGAGAGAATGTGATTTACCAAAGTGGGTTTCCATGGCTGAGTGGGGATTCGAACCTTAGTCTCCAGAGTTGTAGTCTAATGCTCAAACTATTACACCACACTGTCTCTCTTCTAAAATCTGCAAGAACCCATGCTGGATCAAAGCACACAAACTGAATCATTTTTACACTGCATTTTCATCTAATAACTGAAGGAAGATGCAAAAAAGGAAAGCCATTTTTGGGGTGGGGAATGCCATCAGCTTTAATGTCTGCCTTTATTTACCTACTGATATAACACACTGGGTTATTTTTAAAGATAAATCCAGAAGAAAATGGATGTAGCAACTACAGTGATGTTTCTGACAATTCCTGCAAAGAGCAAAAAATTCAAACCCAAGCCTCATAAAATTCTTAATTGACTTGCCAGCCTCGCAAACTCAGCTTGGATTCCGTTGCCAAGAGAGAGGATACAATAAACCCTATGCCAACTTTAAAAGTTCTTCAAATATTCTGAGGCTGCTTCTGCACACGCCAAATAAGATTAGGTAAACAAAGTGAAGAAGAAAGGACATTGATATAAGCAATGCCAAGGTGTACAATTTGTAATAATGAGAACTTTTTATATGACCTCCTGAGCCAGAGACAATCCTGTTTGTGATCTAGGTTATACTCTGCTTTTGGCACTGATATACATCTGGAAATCAACAAAAGAAGAACTTGTGCAATGTTGATCTTATAGGACTTTTCCAGGGTTTGACACAGCTGGGAATTTCTGTCAAGGATCAGCAAGCCAGGGGACTTTTGTGTTCCCCTGTAGCATGTGGCTTGGCTTGTAGTATGAGACATCTCAAGCTATCTTTGCCCTATACCCACTGTCTGCTTTTGGCAAACTGTGCTGTGTACTATGCAGCTTGATTTGGGGGTGGAGGGATATGCTGCTGCCGCTATGTGAATAGTCTTGCCTTTCTAGCCCCTCTAATGATATGATTCTGTTCATACCAAAGGTGATGGTGCTGTGACTATGGTTTGATGGCAAGGCTGCGAGTGGTAGAGCTGAAAGTCTTTAGTCTATTCTGGATATTTTCTGCAGAATCCTCCTCCACAGAATGTCATTTTCTGCTACCTAACCTATTGTTAACATCTGAAAATAGGCATCTTCAATATGATGAGGTGTCTTAGACCAGTTTTTCATACTAGACCCTGCAGACTTGCTGCCAGACAGTATAAATTGGAGCCAAGTTGAGGTATCTGTATGGTAGCCAGATGCAAATGAGAAACAGTCTTGCTGTACTTTTAACAACTGTGTTGAAGAGGTGATTTCACAGTGGGTGCAGATTGCCTTGCAACCTATGCTACATCCACTGGAGAAATAACCTGGTTTGATGCCACTTTGACTGCCATGGCTCAATGCTATGGAATTCTGGGAAATGCAGTTTGTTGTGGCACCACAGCTTTGCTGTAATTCCCAGAATTCCATAGCATTGAGCCATGGCAGTTAAAGTGGCGTCAAACTGGGTTATATCTCCAGTGTGGATGCAGCAGCTCTAGACCTGCTGAAATTCCACTTTACAATTGGAGTCTGCTTAGATCAGGGGTAGGCAACCTAAGGCCTGGGGGCCGGATGTGGCCCCCCCAAGGCCTTTGGACCGGCCCCAGGCCAGTCCTGCCACCGCCCCCCGCTGCCTCCGCCCGCCATAATTATATTGATTATTGTTGTTATTACTTGTTCTTGAGGTTTTCTTGGCAAAATCTCCACAGGGGTTTTGCCATGGCTTTTCTGGGGCTGAGAGAGTGTGCATGCATATTTTTTTATTTTTTTTTTTAATGATATTTATTTATTTATTTTTGGTGCTTCAGCCCCCCCAATTGTCTGAGGTACAGCAACCTGGCCCCCGGGTCAAAAAGGTTGCGTACCCCTGGCTTAGATCTTTATAAAATATCTGTCCACCTGAAAAGTTTACAATATTCTAAAAGGGATCACACACACACAAAACCCATCAAGTTTTGTTTAACTCTTTGCTCTCCTTTTATAAATGGTGGCAAGCCTTTCTGCTTGCAATGTTTCACACTCCTTCAGGGTGGTCTCTGCCAACAATAGGGTTATATTCCTAGCCGAAGGGAGCCACCTCTTGCAGTGTGTTCATTCAATTCATTCTAGTTAACCCAGTGATCTCAGAGCAGGAACCTCCAAGTGGAATTCTCTGCCTTGTGTTATGCAGGCGCCTCAAATGGAATTGAGTGATGGATTTCATGGTTCCTTTTTTATTATGAATAATTCAGGTCAAAAGGAAAAGTGGAAGAAAGGGTAGCAGAATTAGCAGAGATCTAGACACAACTGAAGTCACATCGCCAAGAACATATTGTTAAAAACAGCCAGAATAACTCCTACAACTTGGATTCATTCTCACAAGTGCAAGCATGGATTTCAACATACAATGCACACAAAGGCATACTCTTTTGCTCCTCAGTGGTGAGATTAAAATCTCACAACCAAGGACAGCATTCATCCATACAATATCTAAAAAGGCACTGTTAATGCATATTTAACCACTCTCCATCAAAAGACAAGGCTTGATGCTAAACCGCTTCTTGGATAACATCTCCAGGGGGTAGCCGTGTTGGCCATACAGAAAAGTGCAATAACATCCAAAATCCACAAAACAGGTATTCACAAAATCCACATAAAGGGTATCACAGTTTTGTGGATGTTGAATGTTATTGCATTTTCTAGATGTTACTTTACTTCCAAGCAAGTGTTCACGTGGTTTGTTGTTGTGTGCCTTCAAGTCATTTCTGACCTATGTTGACCCTATCATGGGGTTTTCTTGCAAGATTTGTTCAGAGTGGGTTTGCCATGGCCTTGCCCTGAGGTTGAGAGAGTGTGACTTGCCCAAGGTCACCCGGTGGGTCGTCTCCCCCCCCCAAAAAAAACCTCAAAGCCTCTGAGGTGTGGCAGCCCTGCCTCCACCTGGGAGGAAGCTATCAGGATGTTTTATGGCAAGGCAGATTGAATGCTATTAGCTCAGCTTTTGTGGCTATACGATGCTCTGCTTGTCAAGTCTTAGTATATTCCAAACAAAACCACATAACACACACACACACACACACACAACCACACACCTCCTTATAATGTGTTCCGGTTTATCCAGATCGACAGCTAGTTAGAAAAACTATCCCAGAATGGATGTCACAATGTCAAGTTCCCCAGGAGGCAACCTCTGAGATTAGTGCCCAAAATACACACACACACACACACACAGACACATCGCATCTATCCCGACCATCGCTACCACCCCACAGGCAAGGGGTGCCCAGAGGTCCTCCTTTTCCCGGACACGTCCTCCATTTCAGCCTTTTTGCCCAGAGGGAATGCCAAAACGTCCTCCATGTGAAGCAGGACGAAGAAGCACTGGCTGATGTTTCTAATATGAGTGTCCTTAGCTTTTATTTGATCATGCCCTCCATTTTTCTTCAAGGTCCTCCATGTTGCGGTGCCTGGTCCTCCTCTTCAGCACAAGGCGACCAGAGATGCCCTCATTGCAAAGGAGGACCAGGCACTGCACAAAAGCAGGACCTTTGAGAAAAATGCACCAAAGAAATGATCAAAACACTCCTAGAGATATACAGTCAACCCCTGCTTCTGAGTCCAGCGTTTTGGGATTCCTCCTGAAATGGAGGACACGTCGCCGCCAGTCGGAAAAGGGACTTGAAGCACAGCATCATCATCATCATCATCATCATCCCATTTTGCTTCAAGGTCCAGAGCAAAGCTCTGGTGCCCCACCAAACTAGCAGTCCCAGAACTCCACAGCATGGAGCCATGGCAGGTCAAACGGTGTCAAAGCGGATTATTTCTGCAGTGCGGACGCAGCCTCTGAGCTCATCCTTATGGAACGTACTAAAACAAATGACAGTACTTACCCAGAGGGAAATCATACTTGCCCATAGAGAATCATTGGGGAATACTTGCCCATAGAGAATTACAGGGAAATACTAAGATATAGCCCTGTTGGTCTGCAGAATCAGTACATAGAGAGATCTTGTTGCACCTTTGAGACTAGAAGGTGCTACAAGATCTCTCTCTGTGTAGGGAAAAACTAGTATTCCCCTGTGATTCCCTATGGGCAAGTATGGCTTCCCTATGGGCAAGTACTGTCATTTGTTTTAGCACGTCCCCATCCTTATAGGGGAAGAAACGAGGGCGAAGAAGCCACGTGTAGACAAATAAGGATAACCTGGACCTGGACCTTCCCTACAAGTGAAAGGAACAGGGAAAGCAAGCGCCGGGGTCCCAAAAGTAGGGAGAACAAAGCAGAAGCCCAGATCCCGACTTGACTGGGACTCTTCCCGCGCCAGAGGTCGACTCACCATGTTTGCTGCCTGAAGCCCCGCTGCCCAGCCAGCTAAGGCGGGGGAGCCTCCATCCCCTGGGTGCCTTCCCTGGCTGAGATTTGAGCGCCCCACGAAATGAGATTTGAAAGCCCGGGAGTCTTTCTTTGGCTGCGCGGCTGAAGAGGAGGGAAAAACCGGTCTGGATTCCCTGCGCGTCCGCACCTACTCCCGGATTAGAGGAGGATGCGGGGAAAGCCAAGGCAGAGGCAGAGCCAAGGAGGGAGGCGGTAAAGCACGGCCTGGATTTCCCATCCTTTCACCTTGGGAGCTGTCTCCCCGAAAGGGTTTTCTGGGGGAAATGACCGAGCAAGGACTAGGGACACCTTTGGCCTCCTCTCCTCTCACAGTGCTGACAAGAGGAAATTGAAATAATTAAAGAATTCCCCTCTCCAGGATCAAACACTGACCAGAATGGAGACTGCAGTCAAGAAATAAGAAG